AACTTAGTTGTGTTGTCTACACAGTCATCATTGGTTACTACGAGGCGACAGTGAAACCATTTCCAGAGCAAACACATGAGTGCCACTGGATTGCATTCACCGATCGTGACGATCTCAAGCCCACTGCGAAATGGCAGATCCGGCCGATTCCCCATGAACTCACTTCGCTCAAGTACAATTCATCACGGCTTCGAGGCTACGTGATTTCCAAGTACATCAAGATGTTGCCATTCTTGCTATTTCCGCCTTCGATCCAGATTGCCATTTTCGTTGACGGCACCTACAAAGTGAAAAACTCTACATTTGTGGAGCGCGCAGTCAAATCGGTTGTCGATGCACCAGGCAACCACCCCATTTTCTTTCGGCGCCATCCATACCTGGCGACGCATATGGAAGAGATTCTCCTCACGATGGAACGCTATGTCAAAGTAGGAACGGCAGACTTGATTGTTACGCAATACATTGCACACGTAGCGGTAGTTGTGTTGTCTACACAGTCATCATTGGTTACTACGAGTCGACAGTGAAACCATTTCCAGAGCAAACACATGAGTGCCACTGGATTGCATTCACCGATCGTGACGATCTCAAGCCCACTGCGAAATGGCAGATCCGGCCGATTCCCCATGAACTCACTTCGCTCAAGTACAATTCATCACGGCTTCGAGGCTACGTGATTTCCAAGTACATCATGTTAGTTCATTGGGAATCCGCCGAATCTGCCATTTCGCAGTGGGTTTGAGATCTTTTCACCTGCAAAGTGAAAAACTCTACATTTGTGGAGCGCGCAGTCAAATCGGTTGTCGATGCACCAGGCAACCACCCCATTTTCTTTCGGCGCCATCCATACCTGGCGACGCATATGGAAGAGATTCTCCTCACGATGGAACGCTATGTCAAAGTAGGAACGGCAGACTTGATTGTGACGCAATACATTGCACACGTAGCGGAGGGACTGTGTGGTGGTGGTGGTGGTGGTGGTGGTGGTGGTTCATACAGCAGCGGGGCTGCGAAGAAGGGTCCTCGGGCGGCCCAGGCTACCTTCAGGCAGCTGAAGCGACTGATACGCTTAGTGACGCGCTGCAACATGACGGAGCCATTGCTGAGACGCGTCACAAGGAAGTTCTTTTACAACGATACAAGGTCGAACCGCAAGCTGCGATGCACGTTGTCACCACCCCATGCGAGCACGCTTCCACGCTTCAACGCGAGTCTGCTGCTCGGCATGCCCTATCCTAGTGGCCCCAAGGTTCCCCTCTACGACTCGTCGATGCTTGCGTTTCGACTGCACCACCCCAACGTGACGGTTCGTGCCTTCGCCGAAGCATTCCTGAAGCAGTGGTTCATGGATTCTGCAATCCACGGCAAAGACCAACTCCCGCAGGTCTTGCTGCTGTGGCGTACTCCAGGCTACCATCCGGCGATTTTGGGAAATGAATTCCGAAGGTTTGGTGGCCCAATGTTATTCAGGAATCGTCATGGTCAATGATTCAATTCTTTCAAACGTGCAAGACAAGCAGAATAACATTCAAACAAAAAACCCCGTGCGTCGAGAGACCACTGGGAGCTAGAAGTTAAGTAGTTTTTTGTATGTTCAAATCCGTTCATCGGACAATTATTTACGGATGGCCTTGTATGTGGTTTGTGTTTCTTGTGTGTGTTAGT